AGTCCGAGTTCGACATGCGGAGTGAATACCCAAACCTTTTCACCAATCCAAGTACTTTGAGTTTTAGCCTTTATTTTTGTGTTCCCAGACCTCGAATAGCTCTGTTTAATGTTCCTCGATTTGCGTGTGTAATTCGTGTCTTGTTCCTAAAAGTTTTCATGTGAAAAATTGAAGAAAATGTGAAATTTTATCTTTAAACTCATTTGAGTTGACTACGTTCAATATTTTATGTAAACAAATCTAGATCTGTGTTTTTACGGTCTTGATGGGTCCGTATCGTAATTTGTATCCCCTTGAAATAAATTTGGAAGTCCCTAACATGAATTAACGTGATTTATTGAAAACTAGCAATTTAAAGGTTTAAATAATTCATAAGTTTGACCGAAGGTTGACTTTATTGCTGCTGGGTTCAGATTTTGGTTTCAGAACTTAGTATAGGTTCATTTCACTAATTATGACTTTTCTGCAAAAATTTTGTGCAAAACGGAGTTAATTTGACGTGATTTAGACGTCTGGTTGTAAATTTGCATGTTCTTGAGTTTATTTGAAAATATCATTCATTTTGATGACTGATTCATAGTTCTAGTTGTTATTTTGGTGTTTTGATCGTGCGAGTAAGTTTGTATGATGTTATTACACTTGTGTATGTTTTTGGCTTTGAGCCCGAGGGGCTCGGGTGAATTTAGGATAAGCTACAGAGTGCTTTTTGGAGTTAGGAAATTGTTGGTTTTGAGTTTTCTGATATTTGGTGCATCCTTCTTTGCGATCATGAAGCTACTCTCGTGATCGTGAAGAGTAACATGGGCTGGGGTGGAATTTCCTCTATGCGAACACGAGGTTGAGGTCGCGAATGTGAAGAAATGGTAGGATTACCCTCCGTGAATGCGACCAAAGCTACGCGAACGCGATGGATATGGGCCTATAAGGAGGATTAGGTGTGTGTTCTAAGCGAACGCAATCGGAGGGTCGCGAACGTGAAGGCAGGGGGCAAAGCCATCGCAAACGGATAGGGCATCTCGTGAACGTGATGGCCTATAAGGCTGCTATGCTTCGAGATCACATCAGGTCTTTCGTGAACGCGATGAAGACCTGACGCTAATGATTTATAATATCCCAAAGACGGGATCTTCTTCATTTTTCACCATCTTCACATTAGAGCTCGGCCTAGAGGCGATTTTGAAGAAGAATTTCATCTTCGCTTTATAGGTTAGTATATTTTAACTCGTTTTCTTCCATTTTCATCAACACCCATTGATTTCTAGCCTTAATCTATGCTCTTTCATAGTAAAAAATTAGAGATTTGGGTATAATTGAGGGTTTTTATAAAATTGAAATTTAGACCTCAAATTGAGGTTGGATTTCGATTGAATGGGATTTAGATCTCGGGGGTGAATGGGTAATTGGATTTTGGTCCGAATCTCGTATTTTGACTAAGCGGGCTCGGGGTTGACTTTTGTTGATTTTTGAAAAAAGTGCAAATATCTTTATTTTATCTATTGTCATTGATTTTTCTAGCATTGTTTGATGATATTAAGTCGATTTTGGTTAGATTCGATTGATTTGGAGGCGAATTTTAGAGGAAAGGCCCCGGTTGAGCTGTGATTTGGTTGTAGAGCAAGGTAAGTGTTGGGTCTAACCTTAATTTGAGAGAATTAGAAACCCTTGAACTGTATGTTATGTGAATTACATGTGTAACAGAGTACATGCAAGGTGACGAGTGTATATACGCCGTCAAAATAATTGTTTCCATGCTTGCTCATAATTCATGAATTATCATATTTCATGTCTTAACTATTACATGATTTAATTGCGTTATATGTCGTAATTTGCTACTTGTCATTAATTATTCTTGTATTAAAATGTTCGTCCCTTCCATGACTCCGTGATTAATTGCTACTTGCTTTAATTGTTTTGTATGTACTCCTTAATTGTCACGTACTTGACTTATCGTGTTTCTATTGTGTTATTTATAGCATTCCTTTTGATTTGTACATAATTCCTTTATTGCTTTGCTTTCATATTCTTTAATCGTAGATATTCTTATGAATTGAGCTATTGTATTGACTAGATTTATTGAATTTGTTTATGGATCAGGTTACACGCTGCAACGGTTGTGATATGGTGGAATAACGGAGGATTTTGATATTTATATGGTGGAATCGGATTGCGCGCCGCAACGGTTGTGTACGTAATACTTGATATTGATGAATTATGACTGAAATAAGGGAAGATTATGATACTTATCCTGATTATATGGTGGGATCGGGTTGCGCGCCATAACAGATTTTATATGTGATTCTTGATATTGATATGGTGAAATAAGAGAGGATTGTGTGAGTACGGTGGGATCGGGTTGTGCGCCGCAACAGATTGTCTATGTTGTATTCAGTGTTGTTATTGTGTTGATTTCCAGTGTTGTTACATGAAATTATGAGATCGGTTATTCCGGGTTCCCTGATTACAAGAATTGAGTTCTTTTTTATAAGTTAACTGCCTTACCTTTCCAGTTTTCCTTTCCTATTATTAATATACTGCATACAGGTTATTGTAAGTGACCCGCTTTAGTCTCGTTTCTACTTCGTCAAGGTTATGCTCGGAACTTACAAAGTGCATGAGGTCGGTTGTACTCATACTACACTCTGCACTTCTTGTGCAAATTTTGGAGTCGGTCCTAGCGACGGTCAGTAGATTGCTCGGATCCAGTACTTGACGGAGACTTGAGGTACAACTGCACAACATTCGCAACCCTGAAGTCCCATTCTACATTATCTTAGCTATTTATTTCGGTTCAGAAAATTATGCTTTCATTCAAACTATTATTTGTAGTACTCTAGTCGCTCGTGTACTTGTGACACCAGTTTTGGAATTGTATCTGGGTATTGCCGTTATTTTAGTTTATTCACTCTATTTCGGTTTATTCAGCTACTCCTCGCACAATCAAAATACCAAATAACACCTAGAACTACTAATCGGACATCAAATGTATGGAATTTTCAAAGAAACTTAAGAACTTTCAAATTTACAACAGGACGTCCGAATCACGTCAATTCAAGTCCGTTTTGCACCAAATTTTGCAAACAAGTCATAAATAGTAAAAATGGACATTTACCAAGTTCCGGAACCAAAATCTGAACCCGATAGCAACAAAGTCAACCTACCATCAAACTTAGGAATTCTTTTACCTTCAAATTACAAGTTTTCAACAAATTACGTTAAATCAAGTTAGGGACTTACGAATTCAATTCGGGGCATACACCCAAGTCCCAAATCACGGCACGGACCCACCGGGACAGTCAAAATACTGATCCGGGTCCGTTTACATAAAATATTAACAGTAGTCAACTCAAATCATTTTAAAGGCAAAAATTCATATTTTCCTTTATTTTTCACATAAAGACTTTCCGGAACAAGACACGGACTGCGCACACAAATCGAGAATCGCTAAACGCAGCTAATTGAGGTCTCGGAATACAAAAATAAAGGCTAAAACTCAAAATGACCTACCAGATCATCATATTTATTCCTTTGCTAGAAGAATAAGAAATTCGATAAGTATCGCATTTACAGAGCAGGACTCAGTGTAGCACATACCACTTCTCAATTAAAAGCATATGAAAGTGAAACTACAGATCATATATCAGATCAATCACTCAAGTGAACATAAATTGAATTTGGAACACTGATATTAAAAAAGTTAGACATTCAATTTTTAATCTTTATTAACAAAAATTGCAACAAATGAACAGCTCTTATTGTCTTCAAGAGAAAAAGGCTAGATTTTATTAAGAAATAGTCTCCTAAAAGGTCAAAACCTTCATAGAATAATTATTAGGTGTGTCAAATGCACGGATCGAAAAAATTGTTTAGAGAGAGAGTTCTAAGCAGTGGCGGAGGTATTCAATAAACTACACCTTTGGATTGTGTTAAAGGTATTCAAAACTTAATATATAGAGATAAAAAATAAATTTTACTTTATATACACAATTTAATTTTTCGGCAAAGGGTATTCGGGTGAACAACCTTGCGCCCCTAAATCCGCCCGTGGTTCTAAGCATGTGGATTGTTAATGAACTTGGTAGCCAAAAGATTTTGGTTGTTAGACAAATATATTTTCTATTTTATCATTGGACAAGTCATGAGTTCCTAAAGTCAAGTACCACACCAGAAAGGGCTTAATTATTTGTACCTTTCAGTAAATAACAAGAAATGCTGAATAATCTGCTTTGATTAAAACTCTCTTTTCTTCTCTAACTAATATATTCCATTCCATTCCCTGCTCTGGTGCCAGACCCCAAGAAGTACATTTGGAGAACCCTACTAAATCGGCGCATTTATATTGTTGGAGAGTTATTGAATTTAGACGTAGTATTATTCTTAATGAAATTGGTATTCATGTGACATAAATATATTTTACATTTATAATTGGACAAATTGTGAGTTCTTGTATAAGCCAATACCAATAACTTAAAAGGGCATTTATATACTTGAAAACTTATTGAATTTAGACGTAGTATTCTTAGATGTTTGGGAGGACCTTCCCACGATTCTTAAGAGTATATATATCTATTAATTTGATGTAAATATTAATATCGAGTGCGTATAATCTTTTTCTCAGCAAAAAAGATCACACCCTTTCTGCGGACGAGTTTTGAAAATAAACTTTCATAAAAAGTAACTAAAAAAGAACAAACGAACAAGCAATGTTGTATTGGCTTCTTTTACAAAAATTCTCCTTCGCTAAGATTTTCCATTCTGCTAGAATCCTTGACAAATTAAGTTTATAAGGTGACCTACATCTAAAATTGAAAATGAATTGAATACAATTCAACATTCTAAGAAATGATTAGAATTGAAAGTTTTCTTTTTTTCGAAAAAAATAATAATCTATAAAAGTTAAAATTTCAAGCTAAATGTTACTTTTAATAAATTGTTGTGGTTTTCTGCTGCAACTTCCATTTCTTCATAGAGCCCATCTCAGTCCTCTATTTCTCCGCCTAAATTCACTTGTGGCTGCGGATAGTGTTTGGAGAAGATGTTTTCTCCGCAGTGTTCCCTTCTCTCTTACTATCGTCGGCAGATCTTCTGAATATCAAGCAATATAATAACATGTAAATTAACAATGACGGAAAACTTTAGTCTAAAAGCGTCAGAAAATATACCACATAAATTAAACATGAGATTAGTTAAGAATAACAGAAAATCATAGTTAAACAATTATCGTTTCAGTTTAAAGTATAATCAAAAATATTTTGCGAAAAGTTGATGAAATCATTTCCGCTTTCCGTTACCTTAAATTGTAAAATATATTTTTGCTGGGAAAAATATTTTATTATAATTTTACTGAAAATTACTTATATCAAACATAAATAATTCTCGCCTCTATCATGTACTATACATTACATTTTTCATATAGGTGTTAAACGGATGGGCCGGGTTGGGTCGGGCCGAATTGCTATTTTTTGGACCCGTACGGGTTACGGTCCGGGCCGGTTACGGGTTAAGGCTTAACGGATTTAATGGGTTCGGGTTCATCCAGGTAAAAATTGAACCGTAAGGGTTACGGGTTAAGGGGCCGGGCCGGGCCGGGTTTAAAATATTTTTTAATTTTTTTTGTATTTTGTATAACTATTGTAAGTTATATTAATAATTTGTATTAATTTAAAGATTACAAGTTATATTAATACAAAAATATTAATATAAATTGCAAGTGCTACATTTATTTCAAAATTCAAAATTAAAGTTTGCATTTAAAAAGCAAATTAACAAAAAATAGTAAAACTAAATTTTCATGCATAATAAATTAACATTACTTCAAATTAATCTAACAAACTAAAACATTAAGCATAAATATGTCTAATAATTTTAAAATAACACAAATTGTCTGAAAATCTTAAATACGAATTTCCGGAGGACGCTCAAGACAATACTTTATATGCCTCCTTAAACCCTGTGCCAGACTCTGAACGAAAATTTAAGACTTGACCACAGTTCTTGCACTTTACTTTTTGACCTTCTTCATTTTCTTCTACCGCCTCAAAGTGTTGCCAAACATATGAGCGCACTCTAGAAGTACGAGACATGATTTAAATTGAATTGAGAATTTGAGATTGAGACTTGAAATCTTGAAAATTGGAGAATGAGAGAAATTGAGATTGAGAAATGAGAGTTGAGTGAAGAAATGAAGAAGAGGGGGTGTATTTATAGTTTTAAAGAAGGTTAATTTTGTAAATTGAAAAAAGGTTAAATTTTAAAGAAAAAAGAGGCTATTAGTGCAATTAACCCGTTGGGCAATGGATCCCTGCCAGGTCTGACCGTTGCCAACGATTAGTGGGCCCCACTTAATTCAAAAAATTAAAAAAAAACAAAACAAAAAAAAAAGTTGTACCGGGTCGGGCCGGTTTAACCGGTACACGGTACTGTTCACGTGGACCGAGTTTGACCGGTCCGGTTAACCGTTACCAAAATTAAACGGACCAACCCCCTCTACCCCTCCTACCCAGCCCCACCCGGCCCCCTATGTACCGGGCCGGTCCGATTCCGATTTTAACCGGTCTGGGTCGGTCCGGTTACGGGTCAACCCGGCCCGTTAGACACCTTTAATTTTTCATCTACTTTTACGGTCATCGAAACTGGAAAAGTAATGATCCAGAGAACTAAAATAGTTTTGTAAAATATATTCTTACAAAAATTAATACATTTCATATGGGAAAAGAGTTTATAGCATTACCAAATAGACTTACTTATTTACAACTTTGGAGGTGGAAGAAGTCGTAACATCCTTTTCCCCTTTGCCTTTTTGATTGTCTCTCAATTTTCTCTTATAACCAACATTCTCTTTGTTGGTTTTGATACTTGAATCTTCTTTGGTCGAGCGAATACTCATATTTGGATTTTCTCCAATCGGGAGATTCCAATTATATTCATCTTCAACAGGTGAGAGCCTAGTAGTATACTGTAGAATATATAAAAAAAATAAACTCGATGAGATAAATAATTAGTTTAAAAATTTATTATTTTGTCAAATTTCTTAGTTAAGAAAAAAAACAAATATTTTCTAAAATATATCATGCACAAAGCTCAAAAAATATAACGTATGAATCACCTTGTAAAGGTTAGTCATGGAACGGAATTTTATACTCCTTGGGATTCCTTGCGTGATATAGTATTTTTTATCTTTTTCGTCTCTTGTCAAAAGTTTCGAGCCACTATTGGCGTTATAATCAAAATTATCAGGGAGTCTATCCTCACGTGTGACTCTGTTGACCTCAAACTCACCTGCAAATTATATGTGTAATCCGATAAGAGAGAATGATGAACAAATACTCCACCCTATGCTTAGGTCCAAGGTTTCAAAAAATTAATATAAGTCAATTTTGAAATGTAAAATTCTTTTAGTACCATTGATATCTTTTTCTTCTTCTTCTTGTTGGTCATCTAATTCCTCCTCGGAAGAAACATGTTGGCCCTTTCTTGTATTGCTTCCATTGTTTTCTTCAGGTCTCTTGTTTTGTATCGCCTGTAAATTCTGTTTGCTTTTTAATAGATGATTGGAGATAGAACGTATATTGTGGAGGATAACGAGCATCCTTAATGAAAGATTCATATCAGTAGAAATTAGTAAAATCTTTCCACAATCTTAATAAGTTCAAACTTGGCAGAAATTATTAAAATCTTCCCTCATATTAATAAGTTCAAACATGAAAAAAAGAAGTCATAATGTAACATAATTAGACATAAGTCAGTGATCAATTACCTCGCATAGTTTAATAAGGGAATCGAACATCGTACTCTTTGATATTCTCTGATTTATATGGTAATTTTGATCTTCTTTGTCTTTCGTTGAAAGTTTCAGCCTATTATCATTGTTATTGTCCATTATGGTATGGTTAGAATTATCTACTAGGCTATCTTCACCAGTGACTATCTTGCTCTCAAAATCACCTGAAAATCATACATAACCAAATCAGCGGAAATGATACATATGAAATGCATAATATAAGATGTAGAATTAATTAATTACCTTGAATGGCATTTTGTTTTTGTTTTTCAGGTAGTGTCTCCTTGGAAGTGTCAGCTTCATCCTTTCCCGTTTTGTTTGTATTGTGTACTTCAGATCTCTTGTTCTGTGAAATACTTAGACGATTCCAATTGTATTCCTCTTCAGGTGATGAGAGCCTATTCGAACACTGTGAAAATGCAAGGATACTTGATGAGCTAATTGAAGTAAGTTTAACATTATTTTATAATGTCAAATTTCTAAGGCAAAAAAAAAAAAAAAAGAAAA